TGAGTCCAGCATTATCATCTCCACAATGGCGACAGAAGCTAATCACCACAGAAACATAAGTGTGGGATTCTCGATCAGCATTAATAATACTTTTTAGCTCTTCATAGATCAAGGAAAGACCTTCCTTGTCAGTGAAAATTCTATGTCAATTCTGCAATGATAAACAAGTCAGTTCTTAGCTTGGTGATGTTAGGCATTTTCTCCTCTTTCCTTGCTTCAAATGCTTTTTCCACACCTGAAGAAGTGAGGGCAGGAAGTCAGCCACCGCTGGTGAAAGAGGTGCTCTGCACAGTTCACACTAGAGACTTTTAATTTTGCTTCCACAATGGACAGTACGGCTTCTGCAATATATTTGCTTAAATTCAGGCCATTAAAATCATGAGACAAGGAGTCTCTCTGTTCCCTAATTGTTCTTAGTTTCTTGACAAAAGTAGTACTTTTCTTTATGCTCGAATCTAGGCGGCTGAAGAAGTTTTCCTCTGGTCAGTTGTCTGGAGCGTTTTGGTTTTTGCTACGGATTTCCTTTTGTAACTGATGCTATTCCCAAGTTTCCTGATGAAGCTGAAGGGATTCTTCTTTCTCTTTCAGCTGAGCAGCTGCTGCTTCTTGCTGCTGGCAAACAGCCAATTTCACGAGAACTAAAATCTAACATCAGTTCTTTTAACTAAATGTCTTTTTTCTTAAAATCAGTGCCATAAACCCTTGTGGTTACAGAAATACTAGACAGGATTTCTCTAAGTTTGACTAAGTTAATAGATCAGAAGTTATATCATCTGCTATATCAAGCTTATCCTGTATTATTTTATTAATCTACTATGATGAGTATCTGATCTTTCTACGGAAACCTAATCCCTCAGTCCCCCTTAGGTCAAGTGGGGACCAGGTCTTTATCCCCCTTACCCACACTGTCGATTGCCTTGGTGGGCTACTCAGTCTAGGGTTAGTAACCCACCCGGCAGTCAGTTATTCCAGGGTCACGGAGAGGCACTACCTGGAAGATAATGGGCTAGGAAAGTGGAAGGAGGCTAAGCGAGAATTCTTGTCAAAGCCTCAGTTTATTAGAGACGGGGTACAACTTTTATAGGGTAAAGAGTTGGGGGATGGGCACAGGGGCCTGGGCTCTTGCCGCGTGGTTCACGTTGGTCACATGGTCCGAGTTGGTCACATAGGCAGGAGGTTGTCTTCGGTCAGGTCACTGTAGGCCAGGAAGTCAGGAGTTGACACACCTAGATCCCTAGATAGTTTGGAATGTGGGGTGGGTTCCGCTAACAGATAGCTCTCATTAACAGCCAATTTGGGTGTGGGGTAGGCTCTGTCAATAGAACTATTCCTAACACAATTAAGGGTGTGGGGTTCTCTGCAGACTCCCCAGGGTGATGGTTCTTGCAATGATTTTAGGAGGAAATTGGCTCCTAACAGTCCCCTGTTTAGTTTTTTCTTTTCTTTTTCCTTTTTCTTTCTCTTTTCTATTTTTCTTTTATATCTGACATAGACTGTTGGGTCCGGGTGTCACACAATGATGGGGGACAGACCACCAAAGTCTATTAAACCAGAAGCAAACTTTATTCCAGAAAAAGAAAAAAAAATCACCACGGGGCACACAAGGCTTCTCAGCTATAGCTGTGACCACAGCCAGAGATGGGGCTTCTCTAGCTGTGGCTATGGGGGTTTGGGGCCTCCTCTTGTAGTAAAATCAAGCACCAGGTGCGGGTCAAAGAGCTTTTACATCCTCAAGGTCAGGCTTAAAGTCACATTACATTTTAAGTTTCATAACTTTTGTTTAGGACATTAGAAAGTTAACTCAGAGCGTTCATGAAGGCCTGTGACAGTTTTCACTATCCTGTTGATTGCCTTGGTGGGTTACTTAGTCTAGGGTTAGTAACCCACCTAGCAGTTCAGTTATTCCAGGGTCACGGAGAGGCACTACCTGGAAGATATGAGCTAGGAAAGCGGAAGGAGGCTAAGCGAGAGTTCTTGTCAAAGCCTCAGTTTATTAGAGACGGGGTACAACTTTTATAGGGTAAAGAGTTGGGGGATGGGCACAGGGGCCTGGGCTCTTGCCGCGTGGTTCACATTGGTCACATGGTCCGAGTTGGTCACGTAGGCAGGAGGTTGTCTTCGGTCAGGTCACTGTAGGCCAGGAAGTCAGGAGTTGACACACCTAGATCCCTAGATAGTTTGGAATGTGGGGTGGGTTCCGCTAACAGATAGCTCTCATTAACAGCCAATTTGGGTGTGGGGTAGGCTCTGTCAATAGAACTATTCCTAACACAATTAAGGATGTGGGGTTCTCTGCAGACTCCCCAGGGTGATGGTTCCTGTAATGATTTTAGGAGGAAATTGGCTCCTGACACTATCCCTGAAAGAATTCAAGGCAGAGAGTCACAGCAGAGGACAGTTAAAAATGAAGGGACTAGGAGCAGAGGGCCCCCTAGAGGCAATAGCTAGAAGATAACCTTTGTTTGCAGGACCTGACTAGCTGGGAAGCTGGAAGGCAGGAGACAATTGTTAAAAGTTTACCTCTTTACACAGTGGCTGCCAGATGTCTGTTCTTAGGGCAGAAAGTGTTTGTTCAAGGTTAACACTGCACAGGCCTTTAATCCAGCACTAGGGAGGCAGAGGCAGGCGGATCTCTATGAGTTCGAGGCCAGCCTGGTCTACAAGAGCTAGTGCCAGGACAGGCTCCAAAGCTACAGAGAAACCCTGTCTCGACAAACAAAACAAAACAAAACAAACAAACAAACAAACAAACAAAAGAAAGGTTAACACTGGCTGCCAGTTTTATCATTTTTTTTCCAAAATGTGTTTGGGCTTACAACTCTATATTTCTATATTCCTGGACCAAACCTTTTATTTGTATTTTATTTCTGGACTCTTTAAGACCATCTCCTTCCTTTGACCTTTGAAGTGCTGTTCTCTGTCCCTTATTCTTTCTACAATTCCAGAAAAGTCCTGATCTGACAAGTCTGCTCAGGAAGACAAGGCGGTTCACTGAGCCAGAACGTGTCCTTGTCATAAACTCTGTCACAATATAATCCCTACAAACCTCAAAAGGCAGAAGAACATCAAGATGCCTAAGACGGGCGTATTTGTCCTCAAGAGGGTATCAAGGTTTGTTATTAGTTTTATAATCAAAATCTTTCCCTATCCATGCTAATTCCATGTTTCTGAGGCAGAACAAGCAAAAACTGTGTAGCAAATTCCACCGAGGGGCAGTGAAGGGTCATTCAAGGTCATCTCCACACAGGGATCCTTGTCGAAGTGCCCCCAAGACCTTGGTGCTTGGCATTGCCAGTGAAGGTGTGCTCTGGTCCTCATTGTCTCAGGTCTGGTCCTGAGGAAGTTATTATCTCTGTCACATCCTGAGGGAACAGTCTGGTTCTCCTGAGATGATTACTTCTGCTCTGGGATAAGGGCCTCCCAATCAGAGATAATTGTTCCCATCTGGATATAGCAGGCCCTGGGGGTAGTTTGAGCCCCAGTTTACAAAGATGTTAATCAGTCATGGAATCTAGGTGACTCCAGAGGAATAAAGGAAGCCATAGAACCAGAAGGACAAGATGGGGGTTATTCAGGCAGTAACCTTCATAACCAGTTTCCTGAACTATTCATCTACAAACTGAATAAAACAGGTACAAATTCCTATTTTTAGTGTCCCTTGCTGGTATAACAGGCAGAAATGTGTGTGTTAGGTTATGCTGGTGGCAGCTCCATGGCTTCTCACTGACTCTGCCTTCTTTCTCCCAGCATTCAGTTTAGTTTTCCCGCCAAGCTCTACTCTGCTAAGCCACCGGCTGAAACAGATTCTTTATTCATTAACCAATAAAAGCAACACCTATACAGAAGGACCTCCCACACCAGTAAGGAAAACACTGATGGAGTGAGACAACCTCTGGTCTCTGCATTCTTTGACAAGTGCACCAGCACACACCTGTACATATCATATACATAAATGCAAGCTACTCATCAATAATGTAGGCCATTAAAACATATTGGTTACTATAGAAGAAATCTAAGACTACACTGGAATTTCGGAGTGTGGGTCCTATTAGCAGGAGTAAACACACCATTCATCTGAGGCAAATGATGATACATTTGGTGCTGTTACTTGGTAGATGGTGTCATCCTTCTTGGAGGCTCCTAGAGATTATAGTTATGGACAGATGGAAAACCATTAATAGGATGGTAAAGAGCCTTGAACTGAAGGTTTGGCAAATCATTAATAAGCCTTGAACTGAAGGTTTGGCTCTGGTAGTGTTGGCTATGGTTGGACCCCAGGTAGGCCCCCTTATTATGTAGGGATTGCAACTATACCCACCCCATGGTATAGTTAGTCCTACAGAACAGAAGAGGACTGAATCTATTGTTTCTTAAGGATGGAGGTCTCTATATGGCATTGTGGGGAACTTGTTTTTATGCCAATCATTAGTCTGAGATACATTAGCAAAAATAAAACAAAACCTGATGGATAGGGAGGAACAAAGGAGACAGGCCGGTAACTGGTTCCAGAACCTCTTCTATTTTATTTTTTCTTTATTTTACATTCCAGCCAGAGTTCTCCATCCCACCCCTCTTCCTTCCCCCACTTCACCTTTAGCCCACCCCCTATTCATTCCTCCCAATGGGTAAGGGATCTCATGGACAGTCAACAAAGCCAGAATCTCATAGTTTGGTTCCCTTGGCTAACCACCTTGCTCACTGCCTTAGCGAGACCACTGGTTCTCCTTCTTCTGCTTCTCATAGGGCCTAGCATTCTCAATGTTTTAGTTAAATTTGTTCAGTCTAGAGTTAACTCAGTTAAGCTCATGGTCCTAAGGATCCAATACAATCCCTTATGTTTGAAAATAGATAAACAAGGATTTGAATAATGTATAAAGATAAGGGGGGTAATGTAAGCCATTTTGAGTAAAACTTCCATTTTGAATAGGGGTCAAAAAAATATAAGTTCCCAAGACCTCCTTGGGTAACTGACATCCTGTTTGGCAAGCTGAGTCATGAACATGGGGAAGCCACACAGTCACAGGTGAATCAACCAACAAGAACAGGATAAGTGTACCACAAAGAAATGTCCCTAGGAAAGTCTCCAGTCCCTGAATCCTGACTGGTAAAATCCTGGAATTTCGATTTGTGGCTTTTGTGGTTTTTGTACTTAAAAAGCTGTGTAGCATTTTGGCTCGGAGTGACAGTTCAGCTCCCAAGTCTGTTCTGTGTCCCTGACTGGTCCCAGATTGATGACAATAAACTTTTCTTGCACTGACTTGGCGTTTGAGCTGTGTTGAATCCAAGTGGACCCCATAACAGTAGCCTTTATGCTTAGCATGGAAAGACAAGATCAGCCATAAATACTGACTCTTAAATCTTTTCATTTTATTTATTTATTTATTTATTTATTTATTTATTTTTGAGACAAGGTTTCTCTGCATAGCCCTGGTTGTCCTGGAATTTACTCAGTAGACCAGGCTGACCTTGAACTCACAGAGATCCGCCTGCCTCTGGCCCACCCCTGAGTGCTGGGATTAAAGACATTTACCAACACTGCTCAGATTTTTTTAAACCTACCCCCCCCCTTCCTTTTTTGAGACAGGATTTCACTAAGTCTGGAATCTTTCTGTAGCCCAGGCTGGTCTCACAGAGCTTCACCTGCTTCTGCTGGCTAAGTGCTGTGGTTAGAGGCGTGAGCCCCTACACCTGGTGCTTAGAACGTTTCATTTCTACTTTTAATTACGTGCATCTGTATGTGTTTGCGTGCATGATTGCAGATGCCTAAGGAGGCCAGAGAGAGGCATTGGATCCCCTTGGGCTGGAGTCACAGGCAACCGTGAACCACTTTGTGTGCGTGTGAGCGGCAGACTCAGATCCTCTACAGGCACCACACGTTCAACCACTGTGCCACATCTCCAGCCCCTAAATACAGACTTCTAAAGTTTTTATTACATTTATTTATTTGGTGTGTGTGTGTGTGTGTGCTGTCGGAGGACACTTGTAGGCTCTGTGGAATTCAGGTTGTCAGGCTTGGCAGTGGGCCTGAGACACCTAGTTGGGTACAGCTTTGGTTTTTGTTTTTCTTTTGAGACTGGTCCAGTCCAGTGTCCAGAGCCCTGGCTGAGTATGACCTTGAACCTCTTCCTTCCACTCCTGAGTGCTAACTAGGATTAGAGATGGCTCCCAGGTCTCCTGCTACATTAAAAACTCTTTAACAACCGAGCCAGGCCCCAATTCAGATTTTGGACAAGAATCTGAAGAGCATTTCTCTTAATTGTAAATTTGGATACAACAACATGGCTGGTCATTTTCTTAGTTTGGGATATATATTTTTTTCTTTCTTGTATACTATAGCAAATTTTCATTAATGAAAGTGATATCGGTTAATTTTGGAGTCATGAGTTGAGGGACCAGTGGGAAATCTAAACTCATTAGAAAGGTGGATATAAGAGATTCAGAACCAGGGGCTGGAGAGATGGGTCAGCAGTTAAGAGCACTGGCTGTTCTTCTAGAAGACCCAGCACCCACATGGCAGCTCACAACTGTCTGTAACTCCAGTTCCAGGAGATCTGATACCTTCAAACCAAAGCATATAAAATAAAGTTAAATGAATTATAAAAAGAGAGAAAGAGAGAGAGAGAGAGAGCGAGAGCGAGCGATTCAGAACCTGAGTCCTACAGACTGAAAATTGCCTTAGGCTGTGACTTTACAATAGGGGATACTATGATGTATCGCAACTCAATGTGTTATAAGAGGTTCACTCACCTCTCCAGATTTAGACTCTTAGAAGTGCTTGGCCTGCAGTGCTGACTGCATGCAGTGCTGCAGGTTTTATAAATCAGAATTCGCCGGACACGGCGCATGGAAACTGTGCAGTTGCGTCTCTAGGGACGGACGTGAGGACGCGGCCCCTAGATTTAAGGTTGCCAGGTTACACAAGGATTTTTTTTAACGTTCTCAGCTGCCTTGAGTACTGAGGGCGGTCCGAAACAAAACACAGCTAGGAAGAGGGGCGGAGCTGGTGTGTCCTGGCGGCTGCGCATTCCGAGTTTCTCCGCCTCCAAGTTCCTGCTGCTCTGTTTTTACTGCTGCTGGTTCAGACTTCCTGTCCCCAAGTCCGACTCGGTGCACTTTTTTTTTTTTTTCTTCTTCTACGCGTGAAGCTCCAGCAAAGTCAGGTAAGGCCACAAGGACCGCACTATCCTTTTAAAAGTAGAGTCCTGTCCTTTTTTTCTTTTTTCTTAGAAAAGTAACGTGGTCACAAGCATTGTTTGGAATTTAACCTTTTTATTTCTTTGCTTGAGGATAAGGTCTCACTTTGTATCCCTGGCCCGCAATGCAGCCCAAACTGGCTCGAATTAGAGGCAGTCCTGCCCTAGCATCCCAGACAGGTACTGCTGTGCCCTGCATTGTTTATTGTTTCCTTACACCTCTGTCTCTCTGTCTCTGTCACTCTCTCTCTCTTTCTCTCTCTTTCTCTGTCAGAGGTAAAGAGCACTTGCTGATCTTGCAGAGGACCAAGGTCAGTTCCCAGTACCCCCACGTCATGTAGCTTGCAACTGCCTCTGCAGACAGTCACATAACACTCGGACACAAATAAAAATAAATCTTTAAAACAACAAGCCAGGCATAGTGGCTCATGCCGTTAGTGTCTGCATTCTGGAGGCAGATGCAGGTGGATATCTGTGAGTTCAAGGTGTGAGTTCCAGGACAGCCAGACCTGCATAATAGAGAGATCCTGTGCCAGAAAACAAACAAACAAAAAATGGTATTCCTCACTTTTCCTTACCAAGGTATACTTTGGGTTATAAATATTTTAAGTTTAGGTTTGGTAAAGTCGAATCAGTATTGACAGTAATTTAGAAGTTGGTGTCCTTGTATTACAGTGAAGTCCACGCTGGGTATGATGGCATATACCTGTAGTCTCAGCCCTAGAAGTTGGTGTCCTTGTATTACAATGAAGTCCACGCTGGGTATAATGGCGTATACCTGTAGTCTCAGCCCTAGAAGTTGGTGTACTTATATTACAGTGAAGTCCACGCCGGGTATGATGGCTTGTACCTATAGTCTCAGTTCTCAAGAGACAGAAGCAGGAGAATAGCCGCAAGCTTGATGTCAGATTGGTCTGCATAGTGAATGCCCGTGCTGCCTGGGCTCCAGTCTAAGTCTGTATTTGATGGATATGAGTGTTTTGTCTGTTTGGTGCCTAGCAATGCCAGAAGAGGGCACCAGATGCCCTGGAACTGGAGTTATAGTTGTGAGAGGCCGTGGGGGTGCTAAGAACTGAACCTGGGTCCTCTGTGAGAGCCTCAGGTGCCCCCCCCCCAACTTCTGAACCATCTCATTAGCCTCAGCTCAAGTCTGTTCTAAAAACAAAACAAGTCTACGGCCATACCACCCTGAACACGCCCGATCTCGTCTGATCTCGGAAGCTAAAAACAAAACAAACAAAAAGGTATACCTTATTTCATTTTCTTGAAGATTGTTGTGAAATAAAAAGCCCTGTGTATTTTTGTGATTATGGATTACAAAAAGGATTTCACAATTGAAAAAAAAGGATTGTTTTTACCCAAATTGATAAGCCAAAACTGTCCTCTGACATGAACTTGCACTTGTGGGTTGTTAGAGCATAACGAGCCTATTTTCTTGTTATGTTGAAGGATATGGACTAAGAATTTTCAGTATTGTTTGTTTGTTTGCTTGTTATAGAGATCCAAAATTCCAGTGTCATCTAAGTGGAGAGGCAGACCCTCATTCTGTCTGCTTGGGGAGCAGTCCTTTTAGTAGCGACACTGACAGACCCTGAGCTTTGGAAAAGTACTAATGGCTTTCCGCCTGAGTTGGAAAAATTCCAGGAGCCAATGGATTGCTATCCTTCTCATAAAATTAGAAGATTTGTTCTGTGGGAAGACAAAGTCACCTCCAAAACAGCATCCTGTAGTGATCTGTGCTGTCGTGTGCATCCTTGTAATCCTAGCACTTGGTAGCTGAACCTGGAGGGTTGGAAGTTTGAAGCTATCCTGTGATGTGTAGAGTTCTTTAGAAATTTAAATAGTCTCTGTGTACTGACATACTTGACTTTGACATTACCTACAAGACACACCTCTGAGAATGGCTACTAGGATTTGCTTTTGTTAGGTAATTACTGTAATAAAAAACACAACCAAAAGCAATTTGGGGAGGAAAGGGTTTGTTTTGTTTTACACTTCCAGGTCACAGTCTTATCTGGAAGTCAAGTCAGGAACTTGGAGGCAGGAACTGAAGAAAGGGCCATGAAGGAGCCCTGCTTTCGGGCTTGCTCTTCATGGCTTGCTCAACCTTTCTAATACCATACAGGACTACCTGCCCAGTGCATTGTCCCCAGTGGGCTGGGCCCTCCCATAGCAGCCACTGGTGTGGACCCTATAGGGGCCATTGCTGCTTGACAAAGTTCCAGCATTTCGACTCCATGGATCACAATTCTCCTGTACCTTTTTACTTTCATTTTTAATAATTCTCACTATGTTTTATGGGAGTTAGTTCCCTTATGCATTTTCCTTTGGGAAATTTTGTGTGGGCTTTGAAGGACGAAAATGTATAAAATGGCAGCCTCTTGAAACAAAATAGTTCTTTGGAAAAAAAACCCTTCCACCAAGGAACCATATAGCTTGATAACTCTGCCTGCTCTCATACAAGTTAACACCAAACTAGAAAGTTTAGATAAATAACATATGCTTGATAAATAAGGTATATTTGATAATCAAGATTTATAAATTTGTAAGGTCTACTCAGGTTAACAGTAACATTTGTCTAGCTTCATCTTTGCTTACCTTAAGTTTTAGCTAGTTGGATAAATTAAGCCATATAAAAAACTGTAATAATCTATAATGGAATATCTGGTCCCCCAAGAAAGTCCTTTCCCCAAGGTCAGGCATTTAGACAAATCACCTGTGGTAGTTTGAATGTAATTGGCCCTCATAATCTCATAGGGAGTGGCACTATTAGAAGGTGTGGCCTTGTTGGAGGAAGTGTGTCACTGTGGGGGCGGGCTTTTGCTTCAGCTTTGCATAGTGTCAGAGTCTACTTCCTGTTGCTTTCTGATTGAGATGTGGCTAGCACCATGTCTGCCTGCACACCACCATGCTCCCTGCCATAGAAACCGTAACTAAGACAGAAGTTGGTACCAGGGACTGAGGCATTGTTGTGATAGGCCGGACCGTGATTTGTTTGGAGGATTTTGGACTTTGGTAGTTTGGGTTAGTGGGATACTCTAAGCACTGCTTACTGGGTCATTCTAGTAGGAACATGGAAGACAATAGTGTTGTTGATGATTTGACTGTCTAGGGCTAGATCAATAGATTCAGAGGAGAAGAATTCTGATATGTTGCCTAGAAATTGTTCTTGTGATATTTTGGTGAAAAATGTGAATGCTTTTTGTCCTTGTCTGAAGAGTCTGCCTGAGACTAAAGTGAAGAGCTTTAGATTAATTTCGTTGGCAGAGGAAAACTCTGATAAAGATCTATAATGAAAAGGAGACCGCTAAGGTGGAAAAATACAAAATGTACAGTTCAAGGAGAAAAGGAGCACCAGGAAGTGGAATGGAGTTAAGTCCTGTGTTCAAAGAGATCAACAGATTAAAGAAGAACAGGGTATTAAATGAAATAAAGGGAGTGGTGACCTCAGGGTAATAAGAGAAGTGTAGAGCCAGGTGTGGTGTGCACATCTTTAATTCCAGTACTCAGGAGACAGAGGCAAGTAGATCTCTTGAGTTTGAGGTCAGTTTGGTCTAGAGATCTAATCTCAGGACAGCTACGCTTAGGCAGTGAAGGACAGAAAGTTGGTGAAGATGTGGTTAAACAAGGGGGTCATATTCTAGCCCCAATAAGCTGCAGAACGTGGCAGCTTCTGGAGTTAAGTATAGAAGAAAGAGGCTGTGGGATTTTCCTGTAAGACTAAGGCAAGTGGTGAGCCCAGGCATGTGTCAGGGGTGTCCCTGAATGGAAGCCTAGAGAGGCCATTGTGTGAAGCTATAAGGTGAAGCCTGGACTGCCTTGGAGAACCTAAAATGTTGGAGATGCCAGAACCCTGGGATACCTGCTGAGGACAGCTGCTAACAGGGAGTGGAACCAGCCCAAGAGATGTGTTGCAGTCAGCAAAGGTGAAAGGAGTTGGAGATCTCAAGAGCGTTTTGACATCAGTCATGGAGATGCAGAATTTGGAGTTTGCCCAGCTGGTTTTTGGCCTTGCCTTGGTCCAGTGTTTCCTCACTGTGTTCCTTTTCCTCCATTTTGCAGTGGTAATTTATATCCTGTGCCATTATATGTTGGAAGTATGTGATCTGCTTTTTATTTTGATTTTTATAGTGGGTTATAGTTAAGAGATTGCATGAATCTCAGAAAAGACTTCGGATTTTGGACTTTTAAACATTGTTGAGTCTGTGATAGACCGTGGGGACTTTTGAAGTTGAACTGAATGCATTTTGCATCCTGCTATGGTTACTAGCTTATAGGGGCCAGGGAGTGGAATGTGGTAGTTTAAATGTAATTGACCCCCATAATCTCATAGGGAGTTGCACATTAAGGGGTATGACATTGTTGGAGGAAATGTGTCACTGTGGGGTGGGGTTTGAGGTTTCCTACGCTTAGGATACCACCCAGTGTCTCAGTTGACTTCCTGTTGCCTGTAAGATGTCAGACTCTCACCTACTCCTGAACCATCATGTCTGCTTGCACACTGCTTTGCTTCCCACCGTGATGATAATGGACTGAACCTCTGAACTGCAAGCTACCCCAATGAGATGTTTTCCTTATGAGGGTGGACATGGTCATGGTGTCTCTTCCCAGCAATAGAAACCCAAAGACAGATCCCATCCCCTCAGGGGCTTGAAGAAAGTTCCACCTTGCTAAAAACAGAATCATTTCTATCTCTGACAAGAGGGACTTGTAGCCCTTCCATTAACACATAACTGTGGTGACTACGTGACTATTAACTTGTCAAGGTCAGTACTAACTTTCTCCTTTCTTCCCTTTAATCCTCTGTGCAATTATAGAGTATAAAAGGTGTGTAGCCTTTTTTTTTTTTTTTTTTGTGAAGTGGCAGCCATCCAGACTCACCCTCTGATCCTGTCAGTCCTCACCAACGCCACACCTCCTCTTTGGGACCTGGACCCTGATGGAGCTGGACCCCAGGAAAACATTAAAGAAGAAAATGTTTCCTAGGCTTGCCTGCCCATAGGCCAAACTTCTCGACTGAGAGTCCCACTTGTCTCTAGCTAGTGTCAAGTTGACAAAAATCAAAACAAGATTGGATGTTTCCAGTGAAGCTTAACAGAGGGAAGGCCCATCTTGAATGTGGGTGACACCGTTCTCACAAAGAGAAAAGGGAAGAAAGCTAGCTGGGTCCTTGTTGGGATCCATGTGCCAGCCCCAGCATAAACCATCTGTCTGGACCTGCGTGGGGACGTGGGAGTAAAGGCACAACTCACATAGCTTTATTGGGAGGGAGATTCTCAGGGATCCCTCATGAAATCCTGAGTTCACCTTTCACCTCCTGAAAAATTCCTCTGCGTTTATTCTCCAAACAGCCTTTATACCAAACCGTAAACTGAGGGGGAAATTGATTAGCATTCTGTTTCCTAGGTAACCAGGTGAATGGCTTTAGTCACGCCCACATCTACCTATGCCTGCTCTGTCATGTCTTCCTGCTCTGTATGCCAGCTCTGTCACGTAGGTTGAATTAGCATCTCTATCCAGGCATCCTCCAAATTATAGAGAAGGAGCAGAACACATCCTGACCCCTTGTTAGTGTAGGGCCAGCCTGTCTGGAAGGCTACGTGACCATCTCAGGTGTGGTATGGCTTGAGAGCCTGGCTGCCACACCATGTAGAAATATGAGCCCACAAGTCCTACAGTTCTTTTCTTTTCTTCCTAATTTATACTGATGTGAGCGAGCACTCACATACTTTGGCTGTCACAGCCCCCTCCTGCCAGGCCTTCCTTCCCCCTGACAGACAGTATCTCCAAACTGTTCCTTCAGAAGAAACTCTTCCTTACAAGTTTCCTGTTAACTTTAAAAAAAAAAAATACAAAACTGTTTTGTGTATGACTGTTTTGCCTGAATGTTTGTCTGTGAACCTTGTGTATCTGGTGCCCACGAAGATCAGAAAGAGGCATCAGATCCCCTGGAACTGGACAGCTATGAGCTGTCATGTGGGTTCTGGGATTTGAACCTTGATCTTCTACAAGAGCAACAAGTGCTCTTAACTGCTGAGCCAACTCTCCAGCCCTCAAACTAACTCACCCCCAAGGTATTGTTTTGATGCTTCATCGCATAGCTTTACCCCCTTACCTGTAGCACGAATAATAAAAACCCTAAAACAGGTATTGGGGATCAAGCTGAAGATCAGAAAAGCAAAGCAGCCAAACACTAGAGAGACCTTTTACCTCTACCAAATCTTAAAAACAAAAAGGCAAGATCCTGGCTCCATGAATCCTCAGACTCCACACTCCAGTGAGTCTCTTCCCCTTTATATACCTCTCTCTGCCCAGCCATATCCCTCCTGTATCTACCTCCCTAGTGCTGGGATTAAAGGTATGTGACTCCCAAACACTGGGATTAAAGATGTGAGCCACCATCACCTGGATCTGTTTCTGGACTGATCTTGTGTAGCCCAAGGTATCCTTGAACTCACGGAGATCCATTTGCTTCTGTTTCCTGAGTCCTGGGATTAAAGGTGTGTGCCGCCATTGCCTGGCCCCTAGTAGTTTAGCATTGCACTCTGATCCTCAGGCAAGCTTTATTTGTTAAAATATGAATAAAATATCACTACACGTACATAAGATTTTTTATCCATAAGTGAAGCGTCTACCCTATAGGAAACTAATGTCAGCTGTTAAAGAACCTACATGGTCATGAAAGATTCATATGCCTTACTTTGTGTTCAGGTCTGTGTACACATTGACAGTACAGAGTTCCTGGATGGATCCTAAAGACCCAACCCTTCGATGATCCTGCATTAATACTGCAAGCCCCACCTTCTCCTTGAACTGCCTCTTTGCACACAGGAAGTATGAGTGATTGGGATTTTCTCTGTGGCAGGTTAAAGACATCTTAAGTGGACTCTGCATTTGATTCTTCATTTCTTAAGCTCTCATCTTGTTTTTCTTTTTTAATATATATATTTTATTTATTATGTATATAATATTCTGTCTGTGTGTATGCCTGCAGGCCAGAAGAGGGCACCAGACCTCATTACAGATGGTTGTGAGCCACCATGTGGTTGCCGGGAATTGAACTCAGGACCTTTGGAAAAGCAGGCAATGCTCTTAACCGCTGAGCCATCTCTCCAGCCCTCTCATCTTGTTTTTCATATAGCTGTAACTGTTCTTTTTGTTAAGAAATAGTAGCTGAAACAAAAGCAAGTCCTTCTACTTTGCTATAGCATTGGTCATGATTTCATCTGGTTATGTCTTAAGGGGGTGTAGTGGTCAAACACAAGGTATTCCTGTTCCCCAGGAATAGTATTGTTACTCCTGGTCTAGGTTAGGTATGTTCTATACCCTGGGGAAAAATTACAATTAATTGCTTTGTGTGTTTGTGTGTGATAGCACAGGCATGCCATGGTGTGCATGTGAAGCTCAGAGGACAACTTTCATGACTTGTTCTCTCCTTCCACTATGTTGAAGTCAGGTCATCAGACTCGGCAGACCTGCTGAGCCATTTTGCCTGTTTCTGTTTATTTTTATTTTTTAATTATTCTTTCATACTCCTCACTGTTTTTTCCCACCCTTTAGGTATTTCCCCCTTTCTCTCTAATTTAGGTATCTTTTGGATAACCCTGATGTTGTTAGAGGAAAGTCGGTCTTAGATCTTGGGAGCGGATGTGGAGCTACAGCAATTGCTGCTAAGATAAGCGGAGCATCAGAGATCTTGGCCAACGACATAGACCCCCGTAAGGACTGTGTGTTTTAAAACATGTAAAGCTCGCCACTTCCCTTTCAGGATGTATTGAGATAGCTTATTGCCTTGTTTGTAATCTGATATTGTGAGGTATGTTCAGTGGGACATTATCTGGGGTCTGACAGTGCCTTTCCCCAAGAGGAGCTGATGTGTTTGCAGAAGGATACAAACATGGGGACATGTATGCTAGCTTCTGGGTTGAGAATTCCATGAAAGGTGTAAGTAATGTTGATTTGACACAGATTCGAGTACAGATAAGCTTGTGTCTTTAGAGGATAATTTTTTTCGTCTTTAAGACCCAAGTTGTTGGGTATGGCAGAGGCAGGTAGACTCCAGAGTCCCAGGTCAGCTAGGGCTACAAAATGAAACCCTGTCTCAAACAAAATGGAAGGGAGGAAGGGAGGGAGGACAAAGGCCTACGTGGTGACAGGTAAGCTTTTATTTCATCTGATTTTTTTATGATCCTGTCTTTATTTAGGGTAGAGCCCTCCAGGAGTCTTATTTTATTAAGAGGTTTCAGTTACAACTTAAACTCAATATTTTTTTTCTGTTTACAGCAAACAAACATACAAAAAAAAAATAACCAGAAAGTGTTCCTAAATATCCTACCATTGCTGTTCTATGTTCAATATATAGCTTTAAAAAATTCCCTATAGGGGCTCAGAGGTTAAGAGCACTGACTGCTCTTCCAGAAGTCCTGAGTTCAATTCCCAGCAACCACATGATGGCTCACAACCATCTATGAGATCTGGCGCCCTCTTCTGGTGTATGGGAAGCAGAATGTTGTACACATAATAAACAAATAAATAAATAAATAATTTAAAAAAATTCCCTATAATCCACGTGAGAAAGCTATAGACCACCATGAATATAAGGTCAGATAAGAGTCTTTTATTTAAGCTAGAGTCTGAGAGCTGGCTTTTGTCACAGCGAACTCTCGGCCCCTGTATTAAACACTACAGAATTTATAAGGACAAAAGACCACAATTGAATCACACCAGGTGCAGGCTAGGGGAGTTTTTACATTAAACAAGGGACCATTTCCCAGCAAGGAAAAAGGAAACTGATCTGTTAAACATTTGACAAGCATCATTTCATTTCTCAGAAGGAAGAAACTGTTGTGTCTAGCAGGATGTAGTTCTGGGAGGAATCAGGATATGGGTATGGAATCAGGATAGCTTAATCTCTCTTAGGCCAATTCCCCTTTTCACTTTCCCTTTTTCTTTTTTTGAGACAGGGTCTCATATAGCCCAGGATGGCCTCAATTAACTATGTAGCTAAGGATGACCTTGGATTTTTGATCTTCCTATTTCCAACTCTCAAGTGCCACAATTATGGGCATGCACCACCACACACAGCCTCTTTGTTTTGTTTTTAGTTTGTTTGCTTGAGACAAGGTCTTATGATGTAGACCCAGCTGGCCTGGTATCTCCCTCTGTAGCTCAGGCTGGCTAATACTTGCAGGGATCCTACACATCTTGGAGTCAGAGGTATGCATCATCATGCCCAGCCAGTATATAGTTTATATTGACATAAACTTTGAACTTCTGTGCTGAAAAGACAACAACAACAGGGGCTGGAGAGATAGTCCAGTGGTTAAGAGCACTGGCTGCTATTCCAGAGGACCCAGGTTCAATTCCCAGCCCCAATATGGCAGCTCACAACTGTTTGTAAATACAGTTCCAGGTATCTAACACCCTCACACAGACATGAATGCAGATAAAACACCAATGTACATAAAGCTAAATTCAACCAAAAATCCCTTTTAACAAAGAAGATAAGTGTAAGATTATTCTTACAATTATTTATTTATTCATCTGTGTGTGTGCCACAGTGTGCACCACATGGGGAGAGGAGGACAGCTTGTGGGATTTGACTCCCTCTTTCCACCATGTGTATTTTAGGCTTTGTTTATTTGATTTGTTGAGATAGGTTCTTTCTGTGTAGTCCTGGCTGTCCTGGAACTCCCTATGTAGACCAGGCTGGCCTCAAATTCACAGAGACCTCCCTGTCTCTGCCTCCTGCGTGCTGGACTTAGAGTTGTGTGCAACCATGCCTGGCCTTCAGATGTTGAACTCTTGTTAGATGTAGTGGCAAGCATCTGAACCTGCAGAGCCATTTCACTGGCCCCTATTGTAAATTTAAAAAGGTGTTTAACCACAGAAACTCAGGGGTATGATATGAAAGACATTCTCTTTCCCCAAAAGATGACCTTTTGCAACAAATTACTTCTCTCATCAGTGTTAAGTTCTCGGTTAAGAGGTCTAAATAGCAAATGATACAGACTTTGTACACAAGGCTTACATATCATGGAGTTACAGGATGTTCTTATGAGTTTTTAATAATTAGTAAATTAATAGTTACTAAATTGGAAAAAAATTTCTAAATATGATTGCCCGAGGAGTAGAGAAAGAGGCATATTGTCTGTTAAAGTTTTTATCTCACTCAAAGATAATAAAATTGTTTCTAAGCCAAGTTCAAGAACTCTTTATGCAGAACTCATATTAATCATTGTTGATCAATACTGTTGGTTTAGGAAAGCTTGGGCCAAAACAGAAAATGAAATATAGAGCTTATGTGGGGGGAAATGTGTTTTTAAATAATAAGAAATTAAATAGCTTACTAATATATGCTTATAGACCAATTTATCATGTTTTGTAAAGTTGCAGGAATGGCGATTACACTAAATTGCAAATTAAATGGACTGAATCCATTTCCCATTTTAACCAAAAACATTTTGAATACGCAACCACGTAAGTTTGATCTCATTGTTCTTGGAGATATGTTTTATGATGAAGACCTTGCAAACACTCTTCATTTGTGGCTGGAGAAGTATTTTTGGACCCACGGAACCCGAATATTGATTGGTGACCCTGGGAGGCCCCAGTTCAGTGGACACAGCATTCAGCATCAGCTGCACCAACTAGGAGAGTACACACTTCCAGAGCCAACTCAGCAGGACAACAACGGACTGACCACAAGTGCAGTGTGGGACTTTCATCCCTGATTTGTCAGAGTGCTTTCAAGTGTTTGGATTAAACTCTAAAAATTTCCTCTGTGGGACGTAGTTTAAAGAATGCAGTTCAGTGGGGGTGGGTGGCTTGAGGCTTAAATACCACCACGTGGGAGACTGAGGTGGGTTGATCGCTCTAAATTTGAAGCCAGAATGGTCTACATGGTGAGTTAGTTCCAGGACAGCCAGAACTACATAGTGAGACTCTGATGGAGGGAGTTATTTAAAATTTCTCTGTTCAGCCCTGCACAGTGGTGCCTGCTTTTACAGGTGGTTCTCTGAATTTGAGGCCAGCTTGGTCTACAGAGTGAGTTTCAGGACAGCAGAGCTACACAGTGAGACCTGGTCTCAAAACAAACAAATGGAAATTAGTAAATAAAAAGAAAGAAAATCTCACCTTCCTTGGCTGTTCTACCTTACATAACTGTATGGCTTACTAAAGTTAGTAATGGTTATGCTTCCATTTCATATACCAGGTTGGCAGGATTTTATAAGAACACAATCCTCTAAGCAAAAATAATGTGAATAATACATTTCACACACAACTGATTATGTAGAAGGTATATCTTATATGTATGGATATAACATACACAACTTGCTACAATATTAATAAAATATCTCTGGAAAGATAAGGAGCTGGAGTGTTATCTTTCTGTTACTGTAACAAAATAACTAAAAAAAAATCAGCTTAAAAGGAGGAGTGGTTTATTTCAGCTCCTCCTTGGTCTGCTGGCTCCATTGTTTTGTATGGAGGCAAGGTGGGATTTTAGGGCAAAAACAGTGTGCGGTAGAATTGGCTTCCCACATGGTGGCCAGGAAGCAGAGAGAGGAAGACCAACTGCTTAGTCTTGCTTAGGCAACCGTGCTTGCTCCCCACCTTGCAGTTTGCCCTATAAAAGAGGTGTGAAGGATTGGCCCAGGGCTGGTCTCTTGAACCCTGTCTTTGCAGTAGTCCATTCAGTTATGAATCCATTAATGCGCTAATCCATTGGTGAGGTCAGAGACCTCATGATCCACTTACGAACATCACTGCATTGGGGATGGACTAGGCTTTCGGTACAAATTTTGGGCAGTTACTACAGATTAATACTATAACTTGTTGGAAGAGGCCACTTGTAGGTTCCCAGCCACTCAGCCCCGAAATAATCCCACAGAAACTGTATTATTTAAATCACTGCTTGGCCCATTAGCTCTAGCTTCTTATTGGCTAGCTCTTCCATACTAATTTGACCCATTTCTAGTAATCTGTGTATCACCACATGGCTGTATCTTAGCAGCTAAAGTTCCATCGGGCTCCAGCGGGGCTCCATGGCTTCTCTCTGACTCTGCCCTTCTTTTTCCCATAATTCGGTTTAGTTTTCCCAGCCTACCTCTTATATTGCCTGCACAGGCCCAAGACAGTTCCTTTAGTAACCAGTTGTATTCACAGCATACAGAGGGGAATCCCACATCAACAACTGGTTAAAGAAGGGTGGTCTGGTTATTGTCTGCTAGGGCACTGCCAGGAAAGAACTTGCTGTGCATTTCATGATGTGAAATCAATAGAGCTTCAGCAAACAATCTCTGTAATGCTCCTTTTCCCTTTTTTATTTATTTGCTTTTGAGACAGTCTCACTCTGTAGCTATAGCTGGCCTAGAACATGCTATGTAGACCAGGCTGGCCCCAAACTCACAGAGATCTGCCTACTTCTGCCTCCTGAGAGTTAGAATTAAAGATGGGCAGCTACCACACCCAGCCCTATAATGGTCTGTCGTATTTAATTTTACACACTTACGGGACTAGAGATAACAGTCTAATGGTACAGTACCTACCTAGCATACACATAACCCTAAGTTCAATACCCAGTAAAACATCACACGCACATTTATGAATCCGATTTTGCCAAGGAAGAAGCTCATAGGTAAATTATTTTTTGAAAGAGCAGCTGTAAAGCCCAATGAAGTTGCCCTGAGATACAGCTTGGTGGTAGCATGACTGCCTAGTATGTATGAGGCCTTGAGACCAAGCCCTAGAACTGAGGGGGGGCAGGAATCAATGAAATGAACATCTGAGCAAAAGCCTCAGTAATATGAATGTATTGAATGGCTGCCCCCTTTTTTGTAAATTTTAATTTTTTTTTGGTGTTGACAATTCAACACTAGCATCATGCAAGCTGGACACATGCTCTACCACTTAGTCACTTAGTCACTCTGCAGCTGACTGTCTCATTTTAACGTGAATTATTACCATTGATTGCAGTGAAACAGGTATATCCATTTCTGTGAAGAGGTAACAGGCTTTATGCTCCACTTTGCTTCTGGCTGAACATTTCATTCAGGTAAAAGCTAGAAATCAACTCAGAAGGTAGTTACACTTTTAAAAGCATCTTTATTTAGAATTCAACAGCTCAGATACCTACACCAGAGAAAGGACTATAAAGGGGAAATGAATCATTTGAAACTGTTGTTATTAAAGAAACAAACCCAGCCTCCTCTCCATCAGGTTCAGTTCACACCAGGGTCACCATTAAAACAAAAAGATGGCTCATCAAACAAATACGGGATGATAGGAGTGCTAAATGCTGAGTCTGGTTAACTTAAAAGCACAAACGTTCACATTAAGATTGAACTGGTTCTCTGGGAGTTACAGCTTAACTAAGACAATAAGTAATAAATTAGTGTTATAATAAGTTCCTGGGAAGGCTCCTGTAATCAGGCTCAGTAAAATCAATAAACCGACCACGTCACTTGCTTTAGTTTTCTTGATCCTACTAATTGCTCCAAGACTTCTCGTGAATGATCTATAAAAGAAAACAATCACAATATATCAATTTATAATAATAAAAGATATTTAATGTTTTTTTCATATGTAAACTGGATGTAACCTGGGTGTGATAATGCATGCCTGTAATATTAGTGCTTGAGAGGTGTAGGTAGGAGAGTCAGGAATTTATGGCAGATCCAGCTCATAAGGCTAGCCTGGGCTATATAAGATGCTCTCTTAGCATAAACAAAGAAAAAAAACAAAAACGAGGTGTGATGATAGCTATTACAGGGTTATTCAATGGATTGAAAATAAAATGAACTGTAAAATGCAGTGGGGCTGGTGAGATGGCTCAAGAGGGAAGTGCAGTTCCTGCTAACTGAGAACCCAGGTTCCATCCCTGGGAGTCACATGGCAGAGTGAATAGTCTCACCTCCTCTACACGTACACTAGATGACAATCTACACACAAATAAATAATTTATAAAATTTATTTATTTTGCTGGACATGGTGAGGTGCACCTTTAATCCCAGGATTTGGGAGGCAGAGGCTGGCAGATCTCTTAAGAATTTGAGGCCAGCCTGATCTAAAGAGTGAATTTCAGGAAAGCTAGGGCTACACAGAAAAAAATAAATCTTGAAAAACAAACAACAAAAGATTATTTACTTTAAATTTTATGTGCTTAGCCTGAATGTATCCTGGTGTACCAGTCGTGTGCCTGGTGCCCACAGAAGCCAGAAAAGGGCATCAGATTCCTGGGAACTGGAGTTATAGACATCATGCAGATGTTGGTAATTGAACCTGGGTCCTCTGGAATAGCAGCCAGTGCTCGTAACCCCTGAGCTGCTGAGCTGGATTGCCAGCCCTGGTAAATAAATGTACTTTTTTTTTTTTTTTTCGAGACAGGGTTTCTCTGTAGCTTTGGAACCTGTCCTGGAGCCTGTCCTGGAACTAGCTCTTGTAGACCAGGTTGGTCTCTAACTCACAGAGATCCACCTGCCTCTGCCTCCCGGATTAAAGGCGTGTGCCACCACCGCCCGGCAATAAATGTACTTTTAAAATGCAAAGCATAGCATACAACTGAATAACTCTAATAATTAATTAATGGTACTCTTCACTATCATTAGATTTAGCCCACCTAACAATGTGACTATTATTATTTTTTCTTTTGAGATAGGCTCTTTTCTATGTAGCTCAGACTGGTATAAGTTTCGGGCCAGCTAAGGCAACATAATGAGAAACCCTGACTTAAAAAAAAAAAAAAAAGATTTGCAGGTGGAGACAGGAAATCCCTGGGGCTCAGTGGATGACTCCGGAAGAAGGACAACTGAGGTTATCTCTTGCTTTCATAGACACACAAACATGTACATATACCCCTCCACACACATGTGCACCTCACACATAGGAACACACAACATTTAAAAAAATGTAAATTAAAAAGCAAAAATAGAGATTACAGGTTACGGGTGTAAGTCAATGGTACAATGCCTGCTTAGCATGTGCAGGGTTCTGTGTGCAACTCCAGAACCCCAACAAATGAATAAAAGCACATGTTAAAAGTAATGAAACGGTCAAATACGTAGCATACAAAGAGCTACTCTACAAAGCTGGAGAGACTTTGTAGAAGGAAGTTCATTCTGTTCAAGGCCACTACTGTCAGATATAGTCAAAGATATTGCAAAACAAAGGAAGAAAGACCTGGGCGGTAGTGGTGCACACCTTTAATCCCAGCACTTGGGAGGCAGAGGCAGAAGGACCTTTGTAAGTTTGAGGCCAGCCTGGTCTACAAAGTGAGTTCCAGTACAACCAGGGCTGTTACACAGAGAAACCCTGTTTTGAAGAAACAAAACCAAACATCCCTCAAAGCCTGCCCTCAGCGACAGGCCTCCTTCAAGAAGGCCACACCTCCTAGTTCTTTCTGAACTTTTCCACCCATTGGGGCTCATGTATTCAAATATATGAACATGAACACATGAGCATCAGTCTCATTTAAACCACCACATTCCACTCCCTAGCCCCATAGGTTTGTGCCCATATCATAATGCAAAATATTTTTAGTGCAATTTCAAAAGTCTCCACAGTCTTTCAGTCTCAACACTTTATAAAAATTCAAAGGTCAGAATCAATTCTAAGATTCAAAGCAATCTCCTAATCCTACCCCTTCCAGGGCCTCTCTACATAGTCCTGGAAGTCCTGGAACTTGCTATAAAAAGACCAGACTGGCCTCAAACTCAAACTGCCTCCTTCTGCCTCTGAAGTTCCAGAATTAAAGGTCTGTGCACCTAGAGCATACTCTTAATTGTAAGCCTTATAAAATAAAAATGCAAATTATATACTTCTTACTTTCAATGGCACAGAATATACATTGCCATTCTAAAAGGGAGGAATGGTCACACAGTGAGGAAACACTAGACCAAAGAGGGACAACTCCAGATCCTGTAGCTCCATGTCAAGTGTCAGGGCTTAGATGGCTCCATCTCTTTAGCATTGCTTCCTGCAACTTAGTTCTCTCTCTAGGGCTGGTTCCACTCTGTCTGCAGCTCTCCTTTGCAGACGTCTTGGGCTCTGGCCCCTTTAACATCTTGGGTTCTTCGATGTAACCCAGGCTTCACTTCCACAGTTTCACAAAAAGGGGGTAACCCTTTTTTCCCATCTCCTCAAGCATACCACCACTCACCCCTTGGGTAGCTGGCATGGGAGGTCCTTTTGTCTATGCATTGCTGGTTTTTTTTCCTCCCTCCCTCCTTCCTTCTTTCTTTCTTTCTTTCTTTCTTTTTTTTTTTGTTTTGTTTTTCAAGACAGGGTTTCTCTGTAGCTTTGGAGCCTATCCTGGAACTAGCTCTTGTAGACCAGGCTGGCCTCGAACTCACAGAGATCTGCCTGCCTCTG